TGATTTATGTTTACAGGTAAAAAGGCATCAGGCTTTTCATGAACATTTCCAATGCAACAAATGTCTGCTCACGACACAGAGTGTTGGTCTATGTAAAAAATGAATGTGGGGATATCGATCCATTGTGCCTCAGAAAACATATAGTGGAGTCTCAATATGGCATGGACAACCATTACTTTGACCTCATCCAACTCCTGGTGAACAGTTACTGCACCGTCAGGCAGAAACATGTTGCCAGATCCCACACCTCACAGCTTAAAAAGAGTCGGTTTGTCAGAAACTGACTAAGCTCATTCTCTTCAAAGGCCAATAATTAAATACAGAAGAAAAAAAACACTAAAAAATACAGTAAAGTGCAGAATAACTATGGACTTGCCTTTATTTTACAAATGATTGTCAATCTTATTATTGAACACAATTTTGTTTTTCAGTTGGTTTTTTTAGTTTATTGTGCATTTCTAAACGATGTCTTCAAAATGATGCTTTAAGCCTTGGTTTTTGTATTGTATTTTGACAATGTAATTTTAGTATACTGTCTTTTACTTGTTTTGACTACGTTGTTAATAAAACTAACATTTTTTTAGTTACAATAATATGGTAAAATAAACTTTTTCTTCCAACTATCTGTGTGTGTAAATGTGTTTTAGAGTACATGTAAATCGGGGCTACTCTAAAAAGAAAAACCTGTTAATCTGGTAAGCACTCAGCATTGTTTACATMATTTGAATAGCCCCATCCCTTTAAGTAGACTGTTTCAAGATGGCGTCGTGCTTAGCATATCTTGGCCCCAGCCTCTTGACGGGGGTAGCCTCTCACTGTTTTGTTCAAACCAAAGTAGCAGCAGTCCTCTGCTTAAACACTGGACTAAATTTAATGTCTTATTTACATCTTAATAAACTCTGACAATGTATCTTCGTAATCAAGTGCTGAAACACAAACAATCACCCTTGATTTAAATTTTAAGTAGAGAAAAAGCTTCGAAATATTTGTTTTAGTGCTTCGTTTGAGCCAAATTAACAAAATATTTCTTTGCAAACAGATCGTCAGTAATTGCTGCTGTAGTATTTCCGATATTTAATCCAGTACTCACCAGTTTTTGGACAAACATTGTTTTAAATCCAGTCGGCCGGTGATGCGGGTTTAAAATCAGCCTTTTTGAAAACAGGAGTCGCGTGAAGATGACGTATACATCTGGTCACGTGGTTCATGTTTCAGTCAGTTCCCTGTTTGAGTGGTTTCCATCAGGACTGCATTGTTTTTACTGATTAATTATTCAGTAACTATTGATCTGTAATGTTTAATCTTAGATTCGCCTTGTTTACATGTAGTACTTACATATACTTATATTTTTACTGGGACACAGTTATTAATATTTGTTAAATGTAGAATATGAGTTAATATTTAAAAAGAGGCTTAAGCATTGGTTGAAAACAAATCAGTCATGTACTCATTCATAGTCATCCATTGCCTATTGCTGAGTGTGTTTTTCCCTTCTCCTTTTTAACTGTGTTTTATTTTATTTATATATATTTTATTGTTTTGTTATCTGTTAGTTATTTTCTTTGTAGTGTGTTCTGTTAAATGAATTGTGTAGTGAGGTGTTCTGTTTTGTGCTTACTTGTAGGACAAGGGATGAAATTTAGCTACTGTGCGAACTCTTGCATTTTTTACACTGCCATGTATTGTGGTAATGTTGATTAATGTGCACTGTCCTAATAAATAAATGAAATATTTATTACATTCACTTTGTTTACATGTACTTGTATCTTTACTGGGACACAGTTGTATGTTTGCTGTATTAAATGTACAAGATGATTTAAAGAACTAATGACTTCATTTACAGATTTTTTTAATTTATAATCAAAAATTTATAATTTGAGGATCTGCTCAACTGATTTATTACAGCATTTCATGCATTTCAAAAGTAAATATATCTTATATGTTAAGTACTGTTGAAGTGAGATTGAGCAATTATTAAAGGTTTTTATTCAACTCTACACGAGCCTTCAATAAATATCAGAGGTGTATACTTTAGTACATTTACTTTGTTACTGTCCTTAAGTGATTTTTTTTTGAGCATTTGTATTTTATTATTTTTTTTAATTGAAACTTTTACTTTGTTACATTCAAACGGTAAGTGTTATTTAATAAAGCAGCTATCCACAGGAGTTTGGATTAAAAAAAGAACAGACTCAGATTTGGCATCAAGTTTTTAATGGACAGATGTTTAAACCAGTGGTGCAGTACAGGGGGCGCAGATGATCTAAATCCCCTCTATAATCCATCAGACCCGTTACAGAGGAGCTGCTGATCGTAACTACAGCCAGAGTCAAACAAACATAAAATACATTTTGAGTTGGTCTCATTTCAGAAGCACCCAGGAGGCGTTCCTGAGCCTAAAACAGAAACAAAAACCCAGCAAACATTAACAAACCTTCACTGCACCACCGGTTATCCAGCTGTGGTGGACGAGGACACCTCACAGGTAAGATGCGTCTCACTCCCGGATCAACCGTTAGAGGAGCGAGCGGAGCGAGAAGAACGGGATGAAACAGCTGAAGAGTTCAGACGTGTGGCTGACAAACCGGGTTCAATCAAACTTTCACTCCATGACTCGTGGACAGCTGCAGTTCCTTCTGCTCTTGTTCAAACAGACTAACAGACGTTATCAGTTAACTGTCGAAAAAAAAATTTGTTGTTGTTTTAAACCAGACTCAACGTTTTATTTACACTTGCTGAAGTTGTGTTTGTTTCGTTCGCCCTGTTCTCAACCTTGGAGTCTGTGCTGGACCTCTGCGAGGTTCTTCACGTTAGATCAGAGTCTGCGCCTTGCTGTCCTCAGCCTGTCTGTGGTTTCTGGTGACACCGCCTGCAGCAGCGTTCGTCTTAAACATGGGAGACCTTTTGTGTCTCTCTTGCCTGTTTGATGCTGTAGAGCCACTTGATGACCCTGGCGTTTCGCTCCACGGCGGAGATACCGTACGGCACGCGCTCCCCGGCCTCCTCCTCCTCGTCTTCCCCCTCGTCCCCCTCCGATATGCCGTCGTTGGTGGACCGCCGGGACTGGTCGCAGTCGGAGGAGATCATAGACGCCGAGCGGAAGTTCAGGCTGACGATGTCGGAGTTGGCCCGCGCAAAGTTCTCCGGGCCGACCGCCTCCAGCTCCTCCGGGTCCAGGCCGCAGTAGTTAAAGAAGCGCTCCACGTCGGCCCCGGCGCGGGCGTAACGGTCCGACAAATCCGACTTAGATCTGTGCAGCGAGGAGCGCCGGACCCCGACGGAAGCGTGGTCCGGGTTCACGTCGGCCGAGGCGCTGGTAGGCTCCGCCGGGTCACACGGTAAGGACCGGGGCGTGGTGTTGTCACAGGGGGACGAGGACAGAGCGGCGCGAGGACGGGGCAGGGACAGGGACAGCGCAGGAGGAGGGAGCGAGGCAGGGTCGGGCTTCGGGGGGAGGGGCGGAGCCGAGGAGCTGCTGGAGCGGGCGGTGCGCAGCGGCTTGCCGTTGCAGAGCCGCAGGAGGTCAGACGAGGAGTGGGAGGTGAGGAGCGGGGAGTGGGATCGCTCCACGACTCGCTCGCCATGGACTCGCCTGCTCAGGTTGAGGTTCCCTCCCGGCTGGGGGCTGCGGCGCCCCCCGCTGTTTATGGGGAGGACCTTCAGGGAGTGGGAGAAGGACCTGAGGGAGTGGGAGGTGCTGGGACTGGGAGCGGAGTCTGCTGGTTGCTCATTGAGGGTCAGTGTAGATCGGTAGGTCAGGGGGATCCTGGAAACACAAACAAACACAGTGATGACGGGATGAAATTCAAATCAACTCCAGACATCTTGAATGAATGAAAACTGGAGAACTTCTAGAAGCATAAATGTTATAAAGAACTCATCTGTAGACGATCCAAGTTTCTTCTGTATGTTTTTTCATCTAACTCCACAGTTTTTATGCTTTTTCAACAGTTCGTAAATCAAAATGTTCAGCTCATTTAAGCCATGGGTGCAACGACTTTTGGTATTTCGGTTTTTTTTCCTTTTCAGCTATTTAGCTTTTTCTGCCATTTTTTTCTCATTGAAAATAAATGGAGTTATCTTCAACATCTTTAAAACCCTTCAACAGGTTTAAACATTTTATTTGGGCTGCCATTCTTAGTCGATTAGTCGAAGACTAATCAACTATTAAAATAGTCGATGACTAATAATCGATTAGTTGGTTTTTTTTTTGTTCTTTACTTTGTTTTTCTCTCCAAACTGCTTTGACACCTTCCACTGCCACATCTGCCTTTCTGTCCTTGACACACATGCACAGTAGTGGTAACTGGGGTAGGCCGTGGACGTCACAAGACATTATATAGACAGGCTCTGGTATCATGGCTACCTGACAACAGAGCTCAAAGTGTGGGATCATTCGCATGATTACATTAGAATTTTTAATGGGCGTGGCCAAATGACTCGATAGCGCTACCTAACGTGAGATAGAGGAACTGGTAAGCCCTAGAGAGCTGAAATTCGAGACATAGGTAGTTCTCCCCAAATCAAGAAAAAAAGCCTCTTGAAGGTATGCCCTAAAACCAACAGGAAGTCGGCCATTTTGGGTCAAAGGTCAAATTTTGGTCGATTTTCATTTTTTAAGAAAATGAAAGAGAAACCTGTGCAAAATCTGCAGAGCAGAACTTGCCTTCACAGCAGTTATTTTTAGCTAAAATCTGACGATGGTTATATAATAGCAGCTGCATTCTGGCTCGATAAGCTGTATGTTTTATATTCAATTAACTTATGATCTGATTAGTCGACTAATCGAAAAAAATAATCGGTGATTAATTGACTATAAAAATAATCATTTGGAGCAGCACTACACTTCACTGAACTTTAGTTCTGCATCTGCTTTTTCCCCAAATTTTTTTGGACTTCCTTCAACATTTTTTTGCTAGCTTTAGTTATGTTTTCCTGATTTTCCGGCTATTTTCTGCTCTTTTCAGCTAATTAAAATTATATCTGTTTCTTTCAACTAATTTAAGTTTGTTATGCTTCTTTTAGCAGATTTCTAATAATTTCAACTGTTTTCTGCCTTTTTAGCTGCTTGGTAGCTATTTTCAGCTAATTTTAGTCTTTTCATCTAAATTTACTTTTATGATAATTTTAGCTTCTTTCAGCTTCTTTTTTTTGTAATTTTAGCTTTCTTCTGTTTTTCAGCTATTCTGCTCCTTTCAGCTATTTTGTTAGTTTAAACTTTTTTTGTGCTTCTATCAGCTTCTTTTTGCTACCTTAGGCTTTTAGCTGACTTCTGATCATTTCAGTTATTTTTCTTTCCTTTTTAGGTACATTGTAGCTATTTTCAGCTTTTTTCATCTAAATTCACATTTTTGTGATAATGTCTGCATATTTTAGCTTCTTGTTTTGTGCTAATGTAGTTTTATTTTCTGCTTATTCTTCTATATTTCTGCTCCTTTCAGCTACTCTTCTGTTAATCTAAACATTTTAAGCTTCTATCAGCTTCTTTCTGCTAATTTAAGCTTTTTATGCTTCTTTAAGCTGATCTCTGCTGATTTCAGCTGTTTTCTGCTGTTCTAGCTACTTTTTTCAGTTTATTTTTGTTTTTCATGTGAATTCACCTTGTTGTTTTAATTTTAGCTTGGTTGATGCTGCATTTTACAGTAAATTCTTCTTTTAATGTTCAGCTCTGTCTGAGCTTTCTGGATTTTTTACTTCAGGAATTTCTGCTAGAGCAGAATTTATGATTCCATCAATTTCAGCAAACTGTCCAAACCATCACACTGCCACCACCGTGTTTGACTGTAGGTAGGGACGCACACCATCCACAAAATGATGCACTTTTCTCTCGTCAGTCCACAGAAAGTTTTCCCAGAATGTTTCTGGTAAATAAACAGGTCTTTGTGTTTGTTTTGCTCTGCAGAGTCATCCATGTTTGTCCTTCAGCCATTTCTTATTGTTGAATTCAGAACTGAGGCAGAGGCCTGCATGGCTTTCCGTTAAAAAATTATGGCTGTGTCCAAAACGACAGGACGGGTCCTCCGGAGGACCCAGACTCCCCGGTCTCGGAGGGCCGGGTCCTTGGTAGACCGGGAAGACCGGAAAAAAAGAGGCTGTGGATTTGGACGGTCTAGCCTCCCCTCCTTACGTCATGTCACCTAGCAACTGTGACGACGCTAAACAAGCAAACTTAAATCAAAACTAGAAAAATATCAACACATTAGCATTATTAATATCACAAAACTATAAAATTAACTTAAAAGTATCATTTGAAGAACTAATTGACCCGCTGTAGGTTCATGTTTATTTCGCGTTTTTCATGACGAAAAAATAATATTTAAAAACATGTCCATACAAATGATAAAAGTATTAGAATTACAACCGCTAATTTTTTTTTATTTTTTAAATCACCATATTTTTATTTAAAATGTATTCTTTTCTCTCGCTTCGTCCGCCATTACTAGCTTAAAAAAATCTCCGGTCGGGCCGCAATGCATTATGGGATATGCTGGGCCGGGAAGGATCCATCGGACCTGTCCTTCGATTCGGGGAAAAAGAAGGACGTATTTGTCGGACGCATCGGAGGAGTCTTCCGTTTTGGACGTCCTTCGTCGCGGCGCTGTGACGTATGCGGCCGACAAATTCGACCTTCGGAGGACCCGTCCTGCCGTTTTGGACACAGCCTATAATTTAAATTTGCTTCAAGTGTGACCAAAAAGAAGCAAAAACATACGAAATGTGTAAAAGGAGAAGCATTTTTCACAGAACAGTGGATAACGTATAAAACCTGTTGTTTACCCAGATGGTGTCCAGCTCCTGGCCAGTCCTCCTGAGGACCTCATCAGTACGGCACTCTTAGCTCCACTCGACAGTCCTTCAGCCCCGGGTGACGAGGAGTTCAGCAGGTTCTTTAGGATCTCCAGGTTTAGGTTCTCTCGTTTGCTACCGCCGCTGCTCGTCCCACATGTCTCTGACTTTGCGTTATTATTGGACGCCTTGAAAGGTATTCTGTCTGCGTTCCCTCCTCCTCCGAGCCCAGGCCCTCTCTTAGACAGGAAAGCATGACCGACAGCCGGCTTGGCCAGGACAGGTGGTTTGATTGGCTCTTGTTTGGCGTTGATGACCTCCTGGCTCTTGACATATTTGGCCTTATCAGCTTCGAGTCTTTCAACTGCACTGAGGCGCTTTGGGTTAGGGTCCACCTGAAACACAGAATAAATATCAGCCCTTCTCTCTGTGCCTGTGTTTTCCTTATTGGTCCTTATGTAGAACAATTCCAACAAAGCTGTGAGGTTGTGTAGAATAAACATAAAAACATTCGGCCTCATGCAAGAACTTGTTCGTATTCTTATCCTAAATTTCTCTTACTTCTGTTCGTATGAAGGGTTCGTACGAACATGTAACGTCAGATTCAACAAACTCTTCTATCTTCAGGAAAAGTGTGTAAATGAGCTGCGTAAATTCACCTGTTCTATCCAGCTGCTCGCACACGCGAGAGGAGATTAGCATAATTACCACCCCAAAAATACGATATAAGGCAGTGTTTCCTGCCTCAGATACAAGGAAGTGTCCATTCATGAAAAATGACAGAGAAAACTAAAAAGAAAAACTTTATGAGTTCAGAGATTGAAGTCCGTCTGTCAGAGATCCAGAAAAGAAAATCTGTCATTTTTAGCAGGTCAGCTGTGGAATAAAAAGAGCTGCTAAAAGTATAAAAAAAACTGTGTTAAATCATTTTCATTTATTCAGAAGCCGTAGCGTTGCACACCGTACCACCCCCACGCGCGCGCGCGCTGCATCGCAGGTGGTCTCAGATGCGGGTTTGAAATAAGCC